GTTCTGAAACTACTTTGATTCCTCTGTCTGTGTACACCTCCTCTAAAATATTAATGACTGTCTATTTTGCCATATTTCTTTGGGAAGAAGCACCCCAGTCTTCAGTGTTTCAAAGCTTAGGCCTGGTCTACACTACAGACTTTACTAAGATTAACCAGCATGCTTCTACAATGTAGTACACAGACTATATTGCCATATGACTTGAGTTTTCTTGTGTGATTGGGAGCAAACTATGCTCAAAACCCTGTTAAAGAGGTGTGCTCCAATTCAAGTTCCTGTAGTAAAGAAAAAAAGCTGTAGCACAGCTTGTCCCCATCAAAACTGGCAAGACAAAATCAAATGGTCTTTTAGGAAAGTTAGGGACATGATGGGATTTAATCATACTGTTTAGGCATAAACTTATTGTGAACATAAAAAGAAAAGGAGTACTTGTGGCACCTTAGAGACTAACCAATTTATTTGAGCATAAGCTTTCGTGAGCTACAGCTCACTTCATCGGATGCATACTGTGGAAAGTGTAGAAGATCTTTTTATACACACAAAGCATGAAAAAATACCTCCCCCCACCCCACTCTCCTGCTGGTAATAGCTTATCTGAAGTGATCACTCTCCTTACAATGTGTATGATAATCAAGGTGGGCCATTTCCAGCACAAATCCAGGGTTTAACAAGAATGTCTGGGGGGGGGGGGGGGGTTAGGAAAAAACAAGGGGAAATAGGTTACCTTGCATAATGACTTAGCCACTCCCAGTCTCTATTCAAGCCTAAGTTAATTGTATCCAATTTGCAAATGAATTCCAATTCAACAGTTTCTCGCTGGAGTCTGGATTTGAAGTTTTTTTGTTGAAGAATTGCAACTTTCATGTCTGTAATCGCGTGACCAGAGAGATTGAAGTGTTCTCTGACTGGTTTATGAATGTTATAATTCTTGACATCTGATTTGTGTCCATTTATTCTTTTACGTAGAGACTGTCCAGTTTGACCAATGTACATGGAAGAGAAGCATTGCTGGCACATGATGGCATATATCACATTGGTGGATGTGCAGGTGAACGAGCCTCTGATAGTGTGGCTGATGTTATTAGGCCCTGTGATGGTGTCCCCTGAATAGATATGTGGGCACAGTTGGCAACGGGCTTTGTTGCAAGGATAGGTTCCTGGGTTAGTGGTTCTGTTGTGTGGTATGTGGTTGCTGGTGAGTATTTGCTTCAGGTTGGGGGGCTGTCTGTAGGCAAGGACTGGCCTGTCTCCCAAGACTTGTGAGAGTGTTGGGTCATCCTTCAGGATAGGCTGTAGATCCTTAATAATGCATTGGAGGGGTTTTAGTTGGGGGCTGAAGGTAACGGCTAGTGGCGTTCTGTTATTTTCTTTGTTAGGCCTGTCCTGTAGTAGGTGACTTCTGGGAACTCTTCTGGCTCTATCAATCCGTTTCTTCACTTCCACAGGTGGGTATTGTAGTTGTAAGGGGCCTAATAACATCAGCCACACTATCAGAGGGTCAAACTGGACAGTCTCTATGTAAAAGAATAAATGGACACAAATCAGATGTCAAGAATTATAACATTCATAAACCAGTCGGAGAACACTTCAATCTCTCTGGTCACGTGATTACAGACATGAAAGTTGCGATATTACAACAAAAAAACTTCAAATTCAGACTCCAGCGAGAGACTGCTGAATTGGAATTCATTTGCAAATTGGATACAATTAACTTAGGCTTGAATAGAGACTGGGAGTGGCTAAGTCATTATGCAAGGTAACCTATTTCCCCTTGTTTTTTCCTACCCCCCCCGCCCCCCAAGACGTTCTTGTTAAACCCTGGATTTGTGCTGGAAATGGCCCAACTTGATCATCATACACATTGTAAGGAGAGCGATCACTTTAGATAAGCTATTACCAGCAGGAGAGTGGGGTGGGGGGAGGTATTTTTTCATGCTTTGTGTGTATAAAAAGATCTTCTACACTTTCCACAGTATGCATCCGATGAAGTGAGCTGTAGCTCACGAAAGCTTATGCTCAAATAAATTGGTTAGTCTCTAAGGTGCCACGAGTACTCCTTTTCTTTTTGCGAATACATACTAACACGGCTGTTACTTTGAAATTGTGAAGATAGGACCTCTAACCAAAATACTTCCTCTCTACAACTTTTAAACATTAGTAAGTTATGCACTGCTGCTAAGCTTAGTGCTTTAAAGACAAGATGATAAGATCCATGCCTTAAGGAGCTTCAATCTAAAGTGCACAAAAAGAGACCAGGGTTGTGGGTGCTCTAGGGATATAACAAAGTAAATAAGAGCTATAATGGGCGTGCATTTCCAAGACTTCCCTGCCAAGATGAAATTTTATGGTTATACTATAATGTGAACTCACATCATCATTTTAATGTAGCTATAAAAACATGGGTGTTTACTTAGTAGTGGAAAGCTAACCAAAGCAGTATATTTTCTAAAAGGACTTGGAAGAGGGAGGCTATCCCAGACATAGACTATGTCTACAGTAAGATATTTCTATTAAGATTTCCCAATTCAGTCCCACTAGTGGAAGCTAAGTGCATGCTGTGCTCCAGTTGTCAACCTGTGCTCCATCTACACTAGTCTAACACTGAACTGATATTGAGAAATTTTAGCAAAAATGTATCAGGCTTTGTCTACATGGGAAAGTTACACTGGGATAACCTCTTAAATGAATTTAGATTGACATAATTAAAGTAATGACCTATGTGCCTGACCAACCTGATTGCCTTCTATGATGAGATAACTGGTTTTGTGGATATCGGGAAAGTGGTGGACGTGATATACCTTGACTTTAGCAAAGCTTTTGATACAGTCTCCCACAGTATTCCTGCCAGCAAGTTTTAAAAAAAGCACGGATTAGATGAATGGACTATAAAGTGGATAGAAAGCTGGCTAGATTGTCAGGCTCAACGGGTAGTCATCAACGGCTCAATGTCTAGTTGGAAGTTGGGATCAAGCAGAGTGCCCTAGGGGTCAGTTTTGTTCAACATCTTCATTAATGATCTAGATGATGGGATGGATTGTATCCTCAGCAAGTTCATGGATGACACTAAGCTGGCAGATATGCTGGAAGGTAGGGATAGGGTCTGGAGGGACGTAGACAAATTGGAGGATTGGGCCAAAAGAAATCTGATGAGGTTCAACAAGGACAAGTGCAGAGTCCTACACTTAGGACAGAAGAATCCCAGACATCGCTACAGGCTGAGGATTGACTGGCTAAGTGGCAGTTCTGCAGAAAAGGACCTGGGGATTACAGTGGACGAGAAGCTGTATGAGTCAACAGTGTGCCCTTGTTGCCAAGAAAGCTAACAGCATATTGGGCTGCATTAGTAGGAGCACTGCCAGCAGATTGAGGGAAGTGATTATTCCCCTCTATTTGGTACTGGTGAGGCCACATCTGGAGTATTGTGTCCAGTTTTGGGCTCTCCACTACAGACAGGATGTGGAAAAATTGGAGAGAGTCCAGTGAAAATTATTAGGTGGCTGGGGCACATGACTTCCAAGGAGAGGCTGAGGGAACTGGGCTTATTTAGTCTGCAGAAGAAACGAGAGAGGGGGGATTTGACAGCAGCCTTCAACTACCTGAAGGTGGGTTGCAAAGACGATGGAGCTCGGCTGTTTTCAGTAGTACCAGATGACAGGACAAGGAGTAATGGTCTCAAGTTGCAGTGGGGGAGCTCTAGGTTGCCTATTATGAAACACTTTCTCACTAGGAAGGTGGTGAAACACTGGAACGGGTTACCTAGGGAGGTGGTGGAATTTCCCTCCATAGAGGTTTTTAAGGCCTGGCTTGACAAAGCCCTGGCTGGAATTGATCCTACTTTGAGCAGGGGGTTGGACTAGATGACCTGCTGAGGTCTCTCCCAACCCTAATCTTCTATGACTTTAAGACAGTCCGCACACATGCTGTAGCGCAGGGACACATGAAACAAACCCAGTTTACCAGCAGACAGCATACAGACAGACACAGGATGCACAGACGCGGTGGGGGCGGGAGGAGGGCAATCAGAGGGTGAGAGATTCACACGGGGGTGGATCTTGAGACGCCCCTCGCCTTTGGGAAGGAGCTTCACAGCGGGGGACGAGCAGCATCAGCAACGCTAGCAAAGCGGAGCCGCGGGGCCTCCCCTGCGGCTGCAAGGTGCTGGCCAAGAGGGGAGGGAGGCAGACGACGGGGGCGCTGGGCCGGGGGCCCGGCTACCGCCTTCCCTGCGAGCTTGAGTCCCCCCCCCGCCCGCGGCGTCGCTCACCAGGTGTCCGGCGGGGCGCGGGTCCTCCCGCCCACGTCTCGCTGGTCCACGGGCGGCTCGAAGTAGGAGTTCAGCGCCCTCTGGAAAGCAAAGGAACGGGAGTGAGGGCCCGGCGCAGCAGCAGCAGCAGCCCACAGCCCGTCCCGCGCCCGGGCCCTACCTGCATGTGCCAGTCGTTGTCCGCCAGGCAGCAGCGAGCCAGGGCCAGGTCGCTGCCGGTGATGGAGGCGAACTCGGCGCACAGGAGCTTCCTGCGCTTCGCCAGGGGCTGCGCCGCCTCCTCCTGCTCCTGGGGCCGGGGCAGCGTCGCCTCCTCCTGCTCCTCTTCCTCTCGGGGCCTGGGCCGGGGCCGCGCCGCCTCCTCGGGCCGGGGCAGCGCCTCCGCCTCCTCCGGCTGCGGCACCGTCTCCTCCTGGGGCCGCTCCTCGAGCAGCCCCTCCGCTGCGCTCCCGCCCTCCATGGCTCCGCTCGCGGGCTGCCCTGCCCCGCCCTACCGGCCACCCCCGAGCAGCGCGCCTGCGCAGCACTCACCCAATCCCAGCGGCCCTACTAGCGGACGCACGTTCCGAGGGCAGCGTTGCGGGGGGGAGGGGTGAAGGGGGCAGCGAGCTCAAGCCCCGCCTCACGGGGGGAGGAGGGGGGGTCCCGCGAGCCCCGCGTGGGGCGCGCGCGCGTGACCTACGTGAACGTGGGTCAGAAGGGCCGCGAACGTTCGGCCTGTGGAACGTGGTAAATCGAGGCGGGGTGGAACCAGGCTACTGTGGCCCCGGGAGAGGGCCAGGGAGAGCGCGCGGGGCGGCGCGGGGCGGGGCCAGGCCAGCCCAGCCTCGCCCCCTTCTCGTGCTGCGTGTTTTGAAGGTCACCCAGCCTCTTGTTGCTGCAGCTGCTCCCAGCCCCGCAGAACTCACTCGGTGCGCCCGGTTCCGGGGGACTCTTCCCCGCCGCCTGGAGCAGGTGCCCCACGCCGCGCTCTCTGCGGAAGAGGGACGTCGCCACCAGCCTTTAAACCATGACCTCCTTCACGATCCACTCCTTCCGGGAGATGATGAAAGTCTTGCTGAGCTCATCCAACTTTGATCGGGTGTTAAGTAAGGTATAGTTGTAGGTAGGAATGGATTGATGCTTGGCACTTGCGTAGCTTTTGTTCTGTGAGGAGTTTCAGAGTAGCAGCCCTGTTAGTCTGTATTCGCAAAAGAAGCGAGGAGTACTTGTGGCACCTTAGAGACTAACAGATTTATTTGAGCCTAAGCTTTCGTGCATCCAATGAAGTGAGCTGTAGCTCATGAAAGCTTATGCTCAGATACTCCTTTTCTTTTTGTTATATGAGGAGTGCATCCTCCAGAGTGTATCAGCAGTTGGTGTGTAGATATTAAACATATACATATGTAGGTTTGGCAGAATTCGATTTTTTTTGTATAATTTTGATGGATACTGTCAATGTTTATTTTAAAGCATCTTTCTATATTTAAATTTGCACAGTTGTGGGAAAATTCTGGGGGCGATTAAACAATGATTATTTAATGTAGCTGTTGAGATTCAAAAAGTTAAAGCACATGTCAACAAAACATGTCAAAGTATGGAAAGTAAATAACCTGAAATCATACTCTAAATTCTCTATCCGCATTTTTCTTGCTTTACTTGTCTGTACATTTTGATTATTATGGATGGAAATATTTTATCAGTAAAAATCTAATCCATCTAAGTCAGTGGTTTTCAACCTGTAGTCCATAGACCCTTCTGGGTCCATAGGCTATGTCTAAGGAGTCAGCAAATGGTTGCCATTACCATAGAACAGTGTTTTAAAACCCATGGTCTGCAGACTACACCTAAGATTTCTAAAGGGGTCTGTACCTCCATTTTAAATTTTTTAGAGGTTTACTAATGAAAAAAGGTTGAAAACCACCGTTCTAAACCTATATATATATGCAGCACAAAGTCACTGTCTTGAGAGACTTACAAACTAAAATCCCAGTTGGATCTTCTCAGTTTAAATCCATAGGGTTGTAGTAGGGGCCTGTCCATTCTAGGAGATGCAATTGCAAAATTGAGGCCAAAAAGTATGATCCTGCAAGCTCTCACATGAGTACTGCTTCCTTACATGAGAATTCAGTGGGACGAGTTGCATGATTTAGGCCTACTTTTGTGAATAAGGGTTTGCAGGATCTATTCCTGATTGGCCAGTACACAGAAAAAGGGGGTGGGATGCAATGAAATGTTTAGACGGAATTCTGACTTTCTAAACTGCTGCTGTCTGAATCCATGATATCCAGAATTTGTATTTAGGCCTCTATCTGACATTTGTACTGAAAGTAAAATTCTTTTTCTTGAACCCTGACTTTCCAAAATAAGTTGTCCCCTGACGCGTTTGTAAATGTCAGGAGCGACTTATGGTTTGGATTGTTCAGATTAGGGTTTTTCATAATCAGTATTCTTCTCCTCTTCGTGCTATATTTTAACAGACTAGGCAATAACACAGGAGAGGTTGTTTAAAATGTTATTTCACAATAGCTATAATACCTTTCTGTTTTAGGGGCTTTCTAGCAGTAGCTGAAGCCAGGCCTACATCTAAAATTTAGGTTGACCTATCTATGCTGATCAGAGGTGTAAAAAATTCACACCCTGAGAGACATCGTTAAACTGACCTAATCCCCAGCGTAGACAGCGCTAGATTGATGGAAGAATTTTTCTGTCAACTTAACTGCTGTTTCTCGGAGAGGTGGATTTAGTAGAGCAACAAAATAACTCCTTCAGTTGATGTAGTTAAATGTCTTCTCTACAGTGGTTCACCTGCACCACTGTAATGTTTCTAATACAGACATACCCTTGGAACTCCATTGTAGGGGTTTTTTTTAAATCTGTTTCAGTGATACCAATCAATAGTGAACTGATAATGTTATGAATATATTCATCAAAAATAGGACATACATATGCCATCTTTAGTAAAATATTACTACTTCCAAATGTATAGTAAGAATCTCTTACTGAAATAACTTAGTATTTCCACCTCTGTGACATTTCATCCTAAAGCCACTTTGAATGATTTATTTAAAAAATAATTTTGCAGGGATGAATGTAGTTACAGAAACTGTACTTTTCCCAGTTTTGTGGGGCACCTTATGTCCACTGTTCTCATTTTGTAATATGCAAAATTTTCAGTTGTTCCAACTGGAATCAGGAGAATGTATTTTAAATGCTGTAGAATAACAACTTCTATGCATTAGAATCAATTAACTAGCCTCTTGGGGCTTGTCTGCATGGGGAAATTTACCTACATAATTATTCTGCTATAGTTATTCAATACCTTCCCATGTGGGCATTTTTATTCTCAGAATAAGAGTTCAACACAGGGAGTTATACTCGTGTAATTATACTAGTAAATTTTCCCATGGTGAAGCCCTGAATATGTTGGGCTAACATTTCAAAGTATTCCTTTCAAAATACTGATTTAGTTCCATTATTTAAATTGATGTTGCTTCACTTTAAGGATTACTCAGACGTTGCTGATTTTCATTCTGTCAACAAGAGGCTACGCAACTGTGCTAGCCAACAATGTGGGGAAAAATCAAAGCAAACACTTAGTAGTAACTTTCTATTAGCTTTAAGCCAGGTATAAAGTCAGACAAGTCAACTTTCCATTTTTAATAGAGTTCAGCAGAGTTTGAATCAAGCAACTACTGAAATCTCAAGATGATTACAATAAACTGACAGTGTCCATATTTGAGACACAAGATGGGTGAGGTAATATCTTTTATTGAACCAGCTTCTGTTAGTGAGAGAGACAAGCTTTTGAGCTTACACAGAGCTCTTGTTTAGGTGAAGTTGGTCCAGTAAAAGAACAGGTTTAAGAATTTTATTAAGATGATGTTAAAAAGAAAACGGTATATTATTCACCCATTTTGTTTCACCAGTATCCTGGAACCGACATGGCTACCCCAACACTGCATACAATGTGCATATTTGTTTTTATAGGAGGTATACATTTCCCTAGGGAAACAATTTGCAACTGGAGATTTATAGAAACATCTGGCTTGACACTTAAACCATAATGGTTTAATCCTTTATTTTTCTCTTCCCCTCATTAGTCTAAAAACTGAACCAAGATTTACTTTCAAGTTGGTCTGTTTACTTTGAGAGCAGTCACTAGACTAGTAATTGTCCGTATGTTTCCCCTTTTTGAGATTTTGAATTAATAGAATTTTGTTCCTCTTTCCTGTTTGTTCAGATGACAGTTCTTTCTGCAACTCCTGGAAAGGTTGTTTGTGAAATGAAAATAGAGGAGGAGCACACAAACAGAGGTGGCACCTTGCATGGAGGTTTGACTGCCACACTGGTAGATGTAGTGTCAACAGCAGCATTGTTGTACACAGAAAGAGGAATACCCGGGGTCAGTGTGGATATGAACATTACGTATGTATTGAACATGCTTACTGTCAAATGTTAGATCTTAATGTTTGATGTGTTCTACTAACAGGGCCTGGATTCTGCTAAGTTTCTTTTCCATGATCTAGCTACCACTTTAGTGACAAACTGCAGTCTATTCTGAAAGAACAACTTCTAATAAAGTCATTATAGATCCTGTTTGGGAATATCATCATGTGGTTGAGACACTAGTTTGAGGCAGTCAAATGTTCTTTAAGCTCCCTCTTTTATTATGTTTGGTTTAATGCCTTAGTTACTTCTATGTAACAAAGTCCAAATTCTATAATCTTCTCATGCATGGAATTTCAGTGGGAATATCAGTGTGAGCTCTGCCTGAGGAGAAGCTGCAAGATTCAGGCCTGTGAAAAGGTGCAAGGGGTTAAGTACAAACTGACTATGGTAGCTCCTTCAAAAAATAATTTTAAACGGATGAATGTTCCCTGATTTGTAGCATGTTGTTGTATAAAACAATTGTTCTGTTTTTCATTCAAGATACATGTCTGCTGCTAAGACTGGGGAAGAGATATTGATCACTGCTCAGATTTTGAAGCAAGGAAGAAGTCTTGCCTTTGCCAGCGTGGATGTAACAAACAAGGCAACGGGAAAGCTTGTGGCACAAGGCAGACATACAAAACACCTTGGACATTAATATAAGAAAATTATATCTAAAAAGGAAAGTTTGTGCTTAAGATGCTAGCATTGAATTTTTTTTTCTAATTTAAGCTGTATCAAGTCACCACGATATGAAGGCAGTTAAGAGGTCTACATAAAATGAATTGGTCTCAGTCCCATTCCTAGTGGACAAGTGTTCACATTGTAATTGGCACTAATTCTGAGCTTGTTGCAGTCTTGGTAGAGAGACCAAAAACTGAAGAGACAGGAAGACCAATGTATTTCTTTTGTGCCTGAAGATAAGGTTAATGTTCAGGCTCACTGGTGGGACTGGGTGGGGAAGCTTTCTGCTCCCATTCTGAACCTCTCTCATGAAAACATGGTTCCAGTCTCTAGGGCTGTCAGTTCATAACCTTTAAAAAACTAAAGCAACTAACAAACTGCATTTTTTTTTGTCCTATGCTACCAAGTGTTAAAGTAACAGGTGTTACAAGTTTAGTATTGCTGTTTTAAATTATTAATCTGAAATAAGAATATTTTGCAAATGGGAAATGTAATACATTGAGAACATAGATAAGTCTTTATATCTGGCAAATGCCTAACTCATTAAAAAAATTCAATAAATATTCAAGAAGTACACATTTAATAAAAGCTCTCATACTACTACATTAAGTAAGCTCATCAGCCCGGATGAACAAACTATTTTCTCTGTGAAAAGTTGTATAGTTATATTGTGCTAGAGCAGTGTTTCTCAACCAGTGGCTCATGACCTCTAGGGGTGGGATTATGCATCACAAAATGCAATCAGGAGCGTTGTGAGGTGTTGAAAATTTCAAAACCATTCTGAAGCAAATTACATTTCCAAAATAACTTTAGCGGCAGCCAAAACCGTCAAAGTGTTTGAGGTCAAATAGTAGTTGTATTAGAGAGTTATCACTGGCATTTTTTTATTCTTTAATATAAAATGCAAGGGGGTTAACTTTTTCTAAAATGACCATTACCTCCTTTTTAAAAATTAATGTATTTAAATATGGCATAGCTCTGTATTTAAAAAGTCTGTCATTCTTGCCAAGGCAAATTGACCCAGTCAGTGCTTTCTTCTTATATACAGTAAAATGGGGAAAAAAATCTTTCCTATTTTTGCCATTTAATTCATTTTTTAAAAAAAGCTTTTCCAGTGACCAGTATCTGTTTCATTTACAGAACTATCATACATTAACCATTTAGTGAAAATCAATGTTAATGAATAGTATTACACCCACTTTGTTTTAACGGACTGAAAGAAAATCTGCCATTCTGTAATTATATACCTTTGTCTTAAATAGGCTATTGCCTTATCTGTGCACTGAAACAAATCAAGCTCTGTCTGCATGCCATCTAATAAAAGCCTAGGCGCTTCCCACATGGAATCAAATACTGTTACTGCTGTAGATGAGTGAATAATGAGGAAGTGATGAACTGAATATTTTATTTGCAAAAGTTGACTAAATTAATCAACTCTATGACTAAGGTTAAAAATTAATCAATAAGGTGAACTATTGCAGCAAATAGTTTAGCCACTGCCCTCATATCAGTCAAAACTTCCATTTTCTTCATTGCTGCTTATGTTGGTGAGGGAATAGAGAATGAGCAGGTCTGTATTCAGAAGGCATCTGCATAGCTTTAGAAACAGAAATTAGACTCCACTGGGAGTCATCCTGTGTAATGACTGCAGGATCATTCCATTAGCATTTACTTTTGCTGTAACTCTAATGCAGTCGTTCATGTTGCGTTTAGTCCCTGTTGCATAATTAAGAAAATGGGACATAAGTGTTGTTAAGCAGGCCAGATGAATCTGTTAACTGATTTTTAAAGTATCTTTGAATGTTTATATTCCTCACAGTTTATGCCGTTTAATAAATGAAAATGGGGTGGAGGAGAGGAAGATGGCTTAAAAATGTTGGGTGGTGCTGCACTTCATAGGTTCTCTATTCAAATCTCTCAGCTCTTGGTCTGTAGGCCAGAACCAGACCCTTACACGACCAGGGTTGCCAAGTCTCCAGGAATTAGATTGTCATGTGATAACCTTCAGGACTAGGCAATGCTATGCTCCACTACCTTACTGAGATAATCATTAAGTATTTTTAAGAATCTCATTACTTTCAAAAGTTATGGTGTATGAATTTAGCTTTTTATGCCACACATGCCTTTTCATTTTCTTTTGAAAAAGAATATTTAGTTTCTTTAGGGAAAGACTTACTAGAAGTATGTGAAGTGTCATCTTTGGGTGTCAAGTGATTTGATTAAAAATGTATGTGAAGCATTGCCATTTAGAGTTAAATCAGTGCTCACTACAAACAGACTTCCATTTAGAACAATCTGGCAGATTGTCAAAGGCACTTCTCGTTTCCTGAAATGTTGTTTTGAGTGTTGAGAGTTTTAGGGGAAAAACAACACCTGACTGGAAAAGAAGAGTAGTCAGTGCTGTTAGATAACTGGATCTCTGATTGCCTGCACCGTCCTTGTGTCTATGCACCCAGCTAGCCAATTACCTACTGCCCTGAGACTGGCTTCTGTCTAATGACTACTTACTTTCAAACACTCATTTCTGGTCTCCGCAGAAGTAAAACTCTAGGGAAACAAATCATTGCTAGCAACAGTGAATGGCTGTGGATACAGAAGAAGAACTATTATTATACAGACAGATCAGGAGAAGTTTTATGCTCTAGAATAAGAAGCATGTGTAATGAGGTATGGAGAAACTTATCTGCACTAGTGTTCTCTTCATGCTTTTCTGACTTGTCTTGTGATTACTGCTATCCAAGCCCTTTGGCTGTACTTATGAAGCCTCTCGTTTTCATCACTTCTTTTCCCCTAATTAGCCCACAATAGTTTCACTTGGTCTGATCATTTTTATTCACTTACCTACATTCTTCCTTTATGTTATAATGCTGTTATAAATGTTTATAGGAATTATGACAAAATTCAGAATTATTTTCTAGGGGGTAGATGCTGTATATCAGCTATTCATTCATACCATGTGAATGTCATATTTTAGACAGTTTGACTTTATACATGTAACCTGTTCAATAAAATAGAATTTACATTTATTTATATTGCACTCAGAGTCAGCTTCTGATATCCCTACTCTGAATAAGTTTCCCCAATTGAATTGACAGAGATTATTTAAAATAAGGGACTAATCATTTTGAGTAAAGAGACCAGAAACTGAGTGCAAGTTAGTCATATATACCTCAGTGTAATAGCAGTAACAAGTAACTATGAAATAGAAATACCAGATCACATGTTAGTAAAAATGACAAAGCAGTAAGTGGAAAAATGCCAGATCTGAATGGTTTAAATTCGTATATCAATATAAAAGGTTATTCTCTATCTGGGTTTATAACAAACACACCAAAAGATTGAGAATAATATTTTTGGACCTCCCCAGTGTCGAGGTCCCATTAAAAATAGGGAAATAGTTAATCCATACAGTTTGCACATTTGGTTAACAGTGTGGACATACAAAAGTTAACCTTACATATTCCCACACACACTGATGCACAAGACACATGGACTTTCTCCATATACATATAACTATAAAAAACCCTCAAAAGTTAAAGTTTAAAAAGAATGTTAACATTTCAAAGTAAACACTAAACACAATCTTAATTTACTCCCATTTTGTATATGCATTAGGACACTGCCTTTCATTGCATAATCATATACTCTTTCCCACAGGACCCTTCAACGGAAAAAATATCAAGTGAACTCAGATGATCCTCTGCATTGTTCATCAGTGGGATTCACACCATGGTTTTCAGAGCCACAGCACAGACCTTGACTATTTGAGCTGAAGGAGTAACTCCATTAGCTGGTGTACTATCCTGTGTAATGTACTGAATCAACAAGTTACATATAGAATCATAGACTTTAAGGTCAGAAGGGACCATTATGATAGTCTAGTCTGACCTGCACAACGCAGGCCACAGAATCTCACCCACCCACTCCTGTAACAAACCCCTAACCTAGGTCTGAGCTACTGAAGTCCTCAAATCGTGGTTTAAAGACTTCAAGGTGCAGAGAATCCTCCAGCAAGTGACCTGTGCCCCACGCTGCAGAGGAAGACAAAAAAACCCCAGGGCCTCTGCCAATCTGCCCTGGAGGAAAATTCCTTCCTGACCCCAAATCTGGCAGTCAGCTAATCCCTGAGCATGTGGGCAAGACTCACCAGCCAGACACCCAGGAAAGAATTCTCTGAAGTAACTCAGATCCCACCCCATCTAACATCCCATCACAGGCCATTGGGCATATTTACCACTAATAGTCAAAGGTCAATTAATTGCCAAAATTAGGCTATCCCATCATACCATCCCCTCTATAAATTTATCAAGCTTAGTCTTGAAGCCAGATGTGTTTTGCCCCCACTGCTCCCCTTGGAAGGTTGTTCCAGAACGTCACTCCTCTGATGGTTAGAAACGATCTAATTTCAAGTCTAAACTTCCTGATGGCCAGTTTATATCCATTTGTTTTTGTGTCCACATTGGTACTGAGCTTAAATAATTCCTCTCCCTCCTTGGTATCTCCCCTCAGCCTTCTTTTGGTTAGGCTAAACAAGCCAAGCTCTGAGTCTCCCTTCATAAGACAGGTTTTCCATTCCTCGGATCATCCTAGTAGCCCTGTTCTCTGTACCTGTTCCAGTTTAAATTCATCCTTCTTAAACATGGGAGACCAGAACTGCACACAGTATTCCAGATGAGGTCTCACCAGTACCTTGTATAACGCTACTAACACCTCCTTATCTTTACTGGAAATACCTCACCTGATGCATCCCAAGACCGCATTAGCTTTTTTCATAGCCATATCACATTGGCAGCTCATAGTCATCCTGTGATCAACCAATACTCCGAGATCCTTCTCCTCCTCTGTTACTTCCAAGTGATGAACCCCCAGTTTATAACAAAAAAGTCTTATTAATCCCTAAATGCATGACCTTGCACTTTTCACTATTAAATTTCATCCTGTTACTATTACTCCAGTTTTTCAAGGTCATCCAGATCTTCCTGTATGATATCCCCATCCCTCTCTGTATTAGCAATACTTCCCAGCTTTGTGTCACCCACAAACTTTATTAGCACATTCCCACTTTTTGTGCCATGGTCAGTATTAAAAAGATTAAATAAGGCTGGTCCCAAAACCAATCCCTGAGGAACTTCACTAGTAACCTCCTTCCAGCCTGACAGTTCACCTTTCAGTATGACCTGGTGTAGTCTCCCCTTTAACCAGTTCCTTATCCACCTTTCAATTTTCATATTGATCCCCATCTTTTCCAATTTAGCTAATAATTCCCCATGTGGAACTGTATCAAATACCTTACTGAAATCAAGGTAAATTAGATCCACTGCATTTCCTTTGTCTAAAAAATCTGTTACCTTCTCAAAGAAGGTAGGTTTTACATGAACTACCTTTTGTAAAACCATGTTGTATTTTGTCCCAATTACCATTGACCTTAATGTCCTTAACTACTTTCTCCTTCAAAATTTTTTCCAAAACCTTGCATACTACAGATGTCAAACTACCAGGCCTGTAGTTACCCAGATCACGTTTTTTTCCCCTTTTCTTAAAAATAGGAACTATGTTAGCAATTCTCCAGTCATACGGTACAACCCCTGAGTTTGGAGATTCATTAAAAAATTTTGCTAGTTGGGCTTGCAATTTCAGGTGCCAGTTCCTTTAATATTCTTGAATGAAGATTATCTGGGCCCCCCCATTTAGTCCTGTTAAGAGGTTAGCTTCTTCCTCAGAAGTGGTAATATCTACCTCCATATTCCCATTCCCATTTGTCATTTTACCATTATCCCTAAGCTCCTCATTAAAGACTGAGGCAAAGTATTTGTTTAGATATTGGGCCATGCCTAGATTATCCTTAACCTCCACTCCATCCTCAGTGTTTAGAGGTCCCACTTCTTCTTTCTTTGTTTTCTTATTTATATGATTATTGAACCTTTTACTATTGGTTTTAATTCCCTTTGCAAGGTCCAACTCTACATGGCTTTTGGTCTCTCCCACTTTATCCATACACGTTCTGACCTCAATAAGGTAGCTTTCCTTGGTGATCCCTCCCATCTTCCGCTCCTTGTAGGCTTTCTGTTTTTTCTTAATCACCTCTCTGAGATGCTTGCTCATTCAGCTTGGTCTACAACTCCTGCCTATGAATTTTTTTCCCCTTTCTTGAGATGTAGGCTTCTGATAGTTTCTGCAACTTTGACTTGAAGTAATTCCAGGCCTCCTCCGCCTTTAGATCCAAACTTCAGTCCAATCCACTTCCCTAACTAAGGTAGCATATGCAGCAATAGCCCCATTTTTGCAGACAGCATACTCAAGCATATGGATAGGACGTTGTTTGAGGCAACTTTACTGTAAACAACACTTGTATCTGCCATATTAGAGAACTGTGTAAGCATATAAAGCCTTGCTCAGTAATAATGGTTGTGAAGTGCACATAATACCAGCCAGTAGTACTACAGTAGAACTCCAGATCTTCTTCCCAATCCAGTATTTCCATTTTGGGTCTCTCCCCACCCTATAGGAAGATTTCATTTCTATGTGATTGCTTTGGAATTCAGAAAATGAAGGTGCATCCAATAAGCTCTCTATGCAAGTAGAAATCTGTGGTTTGTAACTACCAAAACTAGATAGACTGAACTTTCACAAGGATAGCCAATGGCACATTCTTCTTCCCAGCACTATCATCTTGCTTAATTTCAGTGTTACTTTACACCACAGAACTACCAGAGCTGTTTGAAAAGTTAAAATTAGCAAAACTTTCAACCTTTTCATTAGCCTTGTTAACAGGTTTAAAAAGTGTTTCTGCTCAATAATCAAGCTGAGGCAGAGATCGAGCATGTAAAATTTCAGCCAAACCAGTTAGTTTAGCATTGTTCTGAGCATTTGGAAGCATGTGCTTAATAAACAGAAGTGTTATATTACCGAAATGTGTTACAACTGCTTGATGTATGATGCATCATTTAATGTATCAATTTAAGTGTAATCTAGTAAAGATCTGGGGAATGGATTTTATTTAAAAGTATAATGGAGGAATAAAGTAGTATCAGTTATTCAGTAGGTAGATAAGACGTAAAAACCTAGTTCAACCTTCAGTAAGCTCCTGGCTCCAGCCCCTTCTCAGACCCACTCTTCCCTCCCACCCCAAATGCAACCATTTCCTCATGCTAGCTGGTGTGCCACAGTAACTACTTACCGGTTTCTTCAGCTGGACAAAAAACTACATTACTTAGTAGGTTAGGAGTGCAGATTTAGCATTTTGAGGCTTAAGAGCATTATAAAGTGATTGCCCCATAAACTCATATTCCATAGTTGGTAGGTAAGCATCCTCTTCTGCAAGCATCCTTTTCCACTGCAAAGATGCATGGAAAACTTGAACCAACCACAGATACTCCTAACCAGTCTGCTCTGTTGTACCCAAATCCCTGCCCAGATTTCAATTCCTATTATATTCAGACTTAAGAGCCACAAGAGAATTCTCCTGCCAAGAATCAAGTAGGACTCCTGCTACAACATACAGGGTGCGTAGTGAGAACAGCCTCACAGAATCTGTCTTTTTCCTATTAGACTGTTTAAGGACATACAAGGGAGGTGTACATGTGTCAAAGAATGTTAACTAAACAGCTCAACCTTTTAAGAAGCTATGTTTTGGGTGTTTATGCAGAGCTGCTACACATACTTAAGTTAGCACAATTATGCTTCATAAAAGATTTAATAAAATGAACCCTACCCTTTAGAGTTGTGAAGATTGCATCAGCTCACACACACCTCTAGCAGAATATGACCCCAAAGATGGCCTAAAAATAATAGCTCAATGACAAACTGCTCTCATAGGGTGGGAACTTTAAAACCAGAATATTCAGTGTTCTCCATAGTTGGAGATACATTGACAAAATGAGGCAGTGAGAAATTCAACATCCTTCCTAAATGCGAGGTCTCTCCTTTCCTCTCCTCTTGGGAAGGGCACAAAAGATGGTGAATCCTCTTCCCAGAGCAAGAGATTTAAGACTCAAATACTGAAGGGGGTGGGGGGGTGAAGCCAGCC